GTCAGTGGGTGTGTGTATTGTTATGTTCGGTATACAACTCCAGAAAACGTGCATGACTGTGCCAGACTGTTTCGTCAGACATTCACTGACTCATCAGAAGATTGAGAGAGAGAGAGAGAGAGAGAGAGAGAGAGAGAGAGAGAGAGAGTGCGTTGGTCATGTACCTCTATGGATGGTGCACGCATCATATTTGTTGGCTTCGTTTGGCACACAAGTGATGTTCTCTTGCTTTTCTTGTCCTGACAGCACTTGATTTGGCGCATATCAGTTGTTGCCTTCGTTTGGCACATAAGTGATGTTCTCTTGCTTTTCTTGTCCTGACAGCACTTGATTTGGCGCACGTTAAGTATAGTTGATGTCTTGGCATCTTGTGCACTTCACAGATTTCTGATGGCTCACAAACATTGTTGTGACATTGTCGTTCCTGCTGTTTCCTGGGAATGAATGTGACTACTTTTCTGACAGAATTTGGAGGAATCAATCGATAACAAGGCCCTCCATGACACATTTGTCATATTTGGGAACATTCTTTCGTGTAAGGTGGCAACAGACGGTGGGAAGAGCAAAGGCTATGGGTTTGTTCATTTTGAAACAAAGGAAGCAGCAGCTCTTGCAATTGAGAAGGTTAATGGGAAGCTTCTCAAGGACAAGAAAGTGTGGGTAACACAGCGTTACTTGTTCGACCTCCTCATGTGCCCCGTTTTTCTGATCCCCTGTGCTTGGTGACTTCGCAGTAACCCTACTTATTGGAGTTCTATTTCTCATTTCTAAGAAGTTTGTTTGGTTTCATTCTCGGAAGTTCTCTCTCATCTTTACATGTGCATGTTTTCATCTTTACATGTGCATGTCTTCATTCAGAAGTTCCCTTCCACGCATCTGTGTGAGGGGATACCAAACCCATGAGGGAAGAAGATAGCAAAATGCCTTTAATAGATCGCCTGTCCTCCCGTCGGGTTGATGATGAGGCACATGACCTGCACTGTGAGAGTGCAATCGTTATAGATTATGAGAAGTAGCAGGGTATTGCATCCATAGGTCCATATTTTGGAACATTGTCTGCTCTACCTATATGTATTATTACTCTCCTACATGTGAAAGGTCTGAGAAAGTGTATCACAAGAAGATATCTATGCAGGGTATGCCTAACGTCCCCCTGTGCGAGAGCCTTCCGTTTACTCAGCATTCAGATCTGTTCCTTCCCCTTTGAAAGGCTCCACATGGCGAGTAGACTTCCTGAGAAACTGAATCGAAGGTTTTGGGCAGATTCTGGCACTTTTGGCATTCTATTTCGGTTGATCTGTTTGATTCGGGCAAAGAATGCAACAAGACTGTGCCATGGGTAGTAGTGTGGTTGGGGTTTGATCTGTAAGGGAGTGATGTTCGATGGCACACAGTTGTCTTCTCTTGGCAGGATATCGTGTGATAGCCTTGAAAATTTGAGGTCTGTCACAGGTTTGAGAAGAGCAGAGAGAAATAGAATGGAGTCTTATTGTGGTGTACCTGAAAAGTGACTCATTCCCTGTGTGGGGCATTTACTTGTCTTTTGTCTGGTACTGCTTTTTGAGCTACCGTCTTCCCCCAGATGTAATGTACGTACGTTGTCTAAGTCTCCGTACTAAAGTCTGGCTTCAGATCTTGGTGGTCAAAATCCGAATACGACGTTATACTGTATGCGACCGCCCCGTCTGGAACCCTGCCATCCGCCTGGATGTTGGTGGATTTGGCCGCTCCTATAAAGTCAAATGTTCTCTGAGACGTATTTATGTTTTGCAGCATTTCAATACAAACAACTTCTGCATGGGTATCATCTCCAAACTCCTAGACAAATTCAAGTCAAAACGAAATCACCTTAGGACCGGACATATAGCTCTGGACCAGGACATTCATACAGACCATACTCTATATTGGAATTTCCAATGGTTCACCTTTGGAGAGGCCCTGAAGTAGAGAGCATCGCCTTTTTCTCTTATGAAACTATTTTATAATATTGGGGGTGGTAAAAGCATCCTGCAGTACCACTATCTTTTCCAAAACACAATTCACCCTTGGTGTTACATGCTGAGCCTGCACATGGGGCCCCTTTTGGGGGGCCGATGGTTGATGAGGGCCCCATACCGCACGCCCTTTCGACATGCACCCTGGAGGCCCACGGCCGGCCTTAGGGCTGCAGGTTTTGATTTGAGGCAACATTCATTTATTCATTTATTTATTTGCTGTCCTATTTTTGTCTATTCAGGCGTCATTTCGGACTTGCAGTTCAGTACGTCCAAACAGACCTTGTGTCTGTTCGGACAAGGCCACACTTTTGGCCTGATACGGAGATAGGCGGGCCCTGATTGGCCAGGTTTGTGTTCGTCCAGTAGCGGAGGACCCTGCTGCATCAGCAGGGAGGGTCTGGACGTCGGGTTGGGACCCAAACTGAGGTGGCCGTTTCAGGCCAGGACCAGAGGTGCACATCAAGGCCCAGCGCTACTCATAGCCGGGCCACGCCTGGGAAGACGTACAGTTAGAGTAGCGCACTTCTTGGGGGACATGCTGCTGGAGCAGCACGACACATCGCTGCGCTGTAGAAATAGAGGTGTCGGTAGGAGGTGAGCTGGAGGCCATACCTGCAGCGGTGGTACTTCCCTAGCACCGTAGCTGCGCGCCACGTCGGCCACCTGCACATGGACCACAACAGCAGTTGGTACATGGGGGCAGTTACCAGCATGTGAGATAGTGAGGAGGATGGCATCTTCTTCTTCTTTGTCTCGCCCTGCATCTCTTCTTCCTCCCTCCTTTCAAAGAGAGCGTGCGTGCGCGCAGGCAAGAGAGAGAGAGAGAGAGAGGTTACAGGCGGAAGTTATATCGGGTATGAGGCTGGAGAGAGAGAGAGAGAGGGGGGGGGGGGTACAGGCGGATGTTATATCGGGTATGAGGCTCAGCATCTGGAGAGAGAGAGAGAGAGAGAGAGAGAGGGGTTACATGCAGAGGTCATATCGGGTACGAGGCTCAGGATCTGGAGAGAGAGAGAGAGAGAGAGAGAGAGAGAGAGGTTAAAGGAGGTCATATCTGGTATGAGGCTCAGGATCTGATTCTACATTTTTGTGGCATACATTGCTTGGACATTCGGCAGGGAGACTATTTTTGGTCTTCGATATTGCCATCTTGCATTTCTCCCTAATCTCCATCTTCCTTCCACCTCTCCCCCATCTTTTCATCCGTGGTATCTCCCCCATTTGCGTGTGTAAGGAGGGACCTTTCTTCCATGTATGCGGTCCGTCTTTCCTCTCTGACATGTGTGGAGTATGATGGGATGCCAGTCTCTGATAGGTCAGGTCATATCTTTGAGTCTTCCGGTGCGCTACATTGTGCTATTTTCATATGTATCTGGATGTACATTGCTTCTGATGCTTTGCTAACGCTGCATTGTCCATTTGAGTCCTTCTCATCACTTCGCGGATCCTTGGATCCATATCGGAGCCTGGTGTGTGAATCGGGACTCAATGCGTGTGATTCAATGCGATGTGACGTGCGAAAGGGGGGGATTGATCGATTGATCAATTGATCGAAGGATTGATTGATTGATTAATCGATTGATTGGTTGATTGATTGATCATGATTGATTGATTCAGGAAACTTGCACATACGGTTCGGGAAAGGCTCTCTGATGCCTATCATATTTCGTTTTTTTAATTTCCAAATCTCGTTGCTCGACAAGTCCGACATTTTGTTGGAGTTTTTTGCATTTATTCGTTTTTTAAGTACTTTTCTCAGTCTTTTGGCTAAGATCAAGTGGAGTATCTGTTCTGATCAGTTTAATATCTGATCTGTGGTCCATCGGGCCATAACGATAATCATGCATTAATTAGTAGCTGGAAATTTAGGTAACCTTTATTAAAGTTTATTTTTTCGGAATTTTGATTTCCCATTACCTGAATTTTTTGATTTCTTCTTTTTTTGGAAAATATCTCCTTGTTGAGTTTTAGGAATCTATATAAAAAAATCGAAATTTGCTGCACGTGCTCTCATCGGATTATTTTTTGCTAGGGTACCAGCCGGGCTGCCCGGGTCCCGGGTGGCCAGCCTGTGCAAGGGCCAGGGAAGGTCCCAGCAAAAAAAAAAAAATCCAAGAAATCCGAAATTGTTATGCAGAATAATAAAGTGAACTACTCCCTCAGGGTCACATTGAAATTCCTCACCAAATTTAGAATAAAAAATATTTTTTCAATAAATATTACATATTATTTATTTTTATTTTTTTTTGGCCCGGTCGGGCAAGATTCCGGGCCTCTCTGGTAGCCTATATTTTTTGTCAATTCGGAATTACATGAACTTGGGAAATTTGTTTTGTGCAGTTCAATTATTTTTTTAATTCATTTTGCCGATCATCTGCAGGCTGATACTCGAACTATCTTTTAATTATTTCTATTTTGGGATTTTGGGGATTGCGAGACCTACTGAACTTGGAACAAACTATTATTATTTAAGCAAAGCTTGAACTTTTCAAATTTGATTAGTCTCCTTGTCTGGGTGATCGATGGTACCCCGTGGGGTGGGAAAGTGTGAGTGCATTACCACTTTCCCCTCTCCCACGCCCACGCATCCCATATATGCTTCTGTGTTTCTCTTCTACTCTTCTCCCCCCCACCTGTCTTCTTGTCTACTCTGCTGCGGCAGTGGTAAGTTGCCACGTCAGCGACCATGTCAGCTGGCGACATCAGCAGGCCATGTCAGCAACAGCTGTGTCACATCAGCAGCAGCTGGTGCCATTTCAGCCTCTACCATCCATGTCTTCTCTCCACTGCTGCCGCATTGGTAAGTTGCCATGTCAGTAGGCCAGGAGAGTCCACAATGTCAGCTCACCATGTCAGCAGCAACACTTCAGCGACAACCGTGCCATGCCAGCAGGAGTTAGTGCCATGTCAGCCTCTGACATTTGTCCATGCGGCATATGCCAGAAGTCACCCGCTCACAAAAGGGTGACATGGAGCGGAATCATGGAGAAACAGCCGAGGCCTACGAGGCCCGCATGTTGGACGTTATGGCCGAGATGAAGAAGAGGGTAGATGTGAGGAACAACGTTGTCTGGCGAAGGAACAACTCTAGAACCAGGTCGCAGCAGCAGCGAAGGCTGCTGATGAGGAACGAATACAATGACGAGGACTATTCAAGGAGGAAAGCGCACTACATGTGCTGGCCGCCGATTGGCGGACGGAGGCTGAAGGCGAGTCAACCACAAAAGCTAGCAATTTTGCTCACCCGCGCCACAGATCTACTGGCTACCTGCATTGCACAACAGGTGGACATCCACAGCCTCGACCACGTGGTCCACGACCACCAGCAGACGGCCGCACGGTTGACCTGCCACATACAGCAGCTGGAACATTGACCCGCTCCCGCGCCAACCGCCAGCCCCTTCAACCTTGTTGATCGCATCAACTTTGCGGAGATTGATGTAGGCCCAGTAGCAGCAGCAAACAGTGAATCAGCAGCTCCAACCAACTGATCAACAGTTGGAGCAGCAGATTGGTGCAGCTGCCGCCTGTTCAAACTCATCATACCAAGAGTGTATACCCAAGTTTGATGGCAATTCCATGGTGGCGCCAATTCTAGGACGAGTCTAAGAGCGAGCCAATTCCATGGTGGCGCCAATTTGACATGCGTTTGGACATCT